GGTCAAATCATGCGGCCCTTGGTATCTTTGATCGTTCCTCTATTGGGACCCAGCAGATTGACCGCTTCAGGCGGTCAAGGAAGGTCAGATAGGATCCGTTCCTGCGATACAGTGCCCAAGATTGACTATGAGAATGCTCACACGCGACACGCCCATGCCCCAAGAAAGCAGACCCGACTTCTTGTTCAAGTCGCCCCTCCTTCCATTTGAGAAGCGATACTGAAGATGTCGTGTGCGTCGGCAAGAAGTCTTTGTTGGATGCCACTCCCAAAAACACAAATGACCAGATGTCACAGCACCATTTGATGATTCTGAATGGATTGCGCGACGCCAGGTTTCACTCTTGTTCATCCCTTTCTCTTGGAAAGTTTCTTTCGTTGTGCGGGCTACTTAAGGTGTCCTTCGCTTTGCTCAGTGGGGAATGTGGGAGTGGTGAGAAGTTTGGTTTCCCACTTATTACCTCATAAGAAAACACAAGGGCCCCTAAATAGACATGCCCGCCGCAATTTCAATTGTGGTGGAAGGGGAGTGCCAGCCAAATATGCACTTTCCTCAATTCCTCAATGCCTGGGAAGGTATCAGCATAAGCAGATAGGGTGGTCTTTTGTTTGACGACCTTGTTGAACAAATGCATGGAAGACCCCTAAAAGTGGGTCCGCCCGCTTTTTGGAAAAATGGAACCCAAAGATTTCAGCCATCATCAGGAAAAGCACAACACAGCAGTGAAAGCAGATGTGGGTTTGTTTGAAAGTGGGGGAGCCCGCAAATGAGTGGTTTCCATTGATTTTGCTTTGGAAGATCCTTTGACACGCAGAGTGAGCGGGTCATGCGAGCTCCCAAAACCCTGCAAGTGGCCATCTTTTTTGTGCACCGTGCAGTCAGCTTAGTAGAACCAAAGGTCAATGGGTTCGGGGCACTGCACATGTGCTTCCCCCCTGCTTGCCAGTGTTTACGGAGCCCATGCATGGGTTCCCTTCGTGAGGCCTTGATGCAGGCTTACAGTTACCCAAACGATCAATATGGGGCGAGAAGACCAAACCTGCAAACGGGCAGCCAGCCTGGCATACCGACCAACGCCCGAGAAAATGCGCAGATCATGGCTTCTGGCAAAAAGCACTGGGGTCAAAACAAAAGGACAGTGCAGAAAACGCTTCAAGAATCTTCTGTCTGACGCAGTATGGATGCATTTCAGCCGACCCGATGTTGGACTATGCGCTATGCCCAAGCCTTTCTCGACGCTGAGGCTTCGTCAGATCCACCGACCCCTTCCACCAAGGCCCCCGGAGTTGCAATTTGGGCGGGTGGGAGGCCGGCTGGGATGAGGAGTTGTGGGTGTGTGTGTGTGTAAGAGTGTAAGGGCATAAGGTTCGACAACATCTGCATTTGCTCAAGACTTTGCACATCACTCATAAGTGGGAACAAGGTTGGATTTGTTGCTCGGATTTGTAGCGCTGGGGTGGTCCTGGTCAGGAAGTGGTCTGATTGGTATTTGGACAAACATGCTCAACCACGGGCACACTGTTGATGCTTGCGCATGTCAATCTCCTGGTAAGATGATGCTTGCTTAGCATTTCTTGTTTCAACCAAAAGGGGTAATGTTGACCAAGGATCAGGAAACCTGACTGAGGAATAATTACGGGGGCTTTCCCCACAAGTGTAGGATCTTGGTTTCCTTTGAAAGGAGGTCCAACATGAAACCGAAACGGGTCCCAGCAGTGGGCGGAAGTGTGGGGCAGCTCTTCCACGCCAATCATAGCTGCAATCGGGTCTGGCACGATGCGTTCTGGCGCCATCCCACCTGCGCCTGGCCACGCAGCGAAAGGGCGCCCGAGGGCACCGCTCGCATGTCGGCAAAAGGAATGGGTTACATAACCACGGGCAAGATAAGTTGGCGAGTTGGCGTCGACCAGCGAGACGCACTGCATTGCCGATGAGGGCCAGATGTTCGCCATCCTATCTGCGCTTGAGCTTCTAAACATGGCAAGTGCGAAGCACCTTTAATGTACCATGGCTTGCTGCTGGACTTGCAATTTTGGGAATCAACCGCAGGAAGACGTCGGGGTGTTTCAGAGTTGGGGGCCACCCGCAGGATGTGTGTGTTCTGTTTTTCCCGAATGCTTAGCGAAGGGTTCCCGTTTATAAGTGGGGGTCTGGGGGTGGAGGCCGTGTTCGCGTGTCGATCAGAAGTGTTGCTCAGAAAAGTCGATCAGAAAAAGTGTCGCTCAGAAGTGTTGCTCAGAAGTGTCGATCAGAAAAAGTGTGGTTCAGAAGTTTTGATCAGGTGTCGCTCAAAAGTGTCAATCAGAAGTATCAATCAGAAGTGTTGCTCAGAAAAGTCGATCAGAAAAAGTGTCCCTCAGAAGTGTTGCTCAGAAGTGTCGGTCAGAAAACGTGCGGTTCAGAAGTGTTGATCAGGTGTGGCTCAGAAGTGTCAATCAGAAGTTGTGCTCAAACGTGTCGCTCAGAAGTCTAGTACGCGCTGGAAAATCGCAACTTGGTAGTGCAAGTCTAGTGCGCAAAGCACAGGATTCCAGCTCTAGCTGCAAAATCGCAACTTTGTAGCACAAGTATAGCGCGCGAAGTACAGGCTTCTGGAAAATCACAACTTTGAAGTGCAAGTCTAGTGCAGGAAGTACAGGTTTCCAGCTCCAGCTCGAAAATCGCAACTTTGTAGTACCAGTCTAACGCGCGAAGTACAGGCTTCCAGCTCCGGCTGGGAAATCGCGACTTTGTAGTACACGTCTAGTGCGCGAAGTCCAGCTCTAGCTGGAAATCACAACCTTGTAGCGCAAGCCTAGCGCACGAAGTACAGGTTTCCAGCTCTAGCTGGAAAATCGTAACTTTGACAAGTCTAGTACGCCATGTACGGGTTTCCAGCTCCAGCTGGAAAATCGCGACTTTGTTGCACAAGTCTAGTACGCGAAGTACAGGTTTCTAGCTCTAGCTGGAAAATCGAGACTTTGTAGTAACGAAGTACAGGGTTCTAGCTCTAGCTGGAAAATCGTGACTTTGAAAATCGCAACTTTGTAGTGCCAGCTCTAGCTGGAGAATCGCAACTTTGAAGTGCAAGTCTAGTGCGCGAAGTGTGCAGGTTTCCAGCACTAGCTGGAAAGTCACAACTTTGTAGTGCGAGTACAGTACGTGAAGTACAAGTTTCCAGCTCTGGCTGGAAGATCGCAACTTTGAAGTGCAAGTATAGTACGCGAAGTACAGGCTTTGAGCTCCAGCTTGAAAATCGCAACTTTGTAGTACAAGTCTAGTACGCGAAGTACAGGTTTTCAGCTCTAGCTGGACAATCGCAGCTGTGTAGCGCAAGTCTAGTGCGCGAAGTACCAGCTCCGGCTGGAAAATCGCAACTTTGTAGCACAAGTCTAGCGCGCGAAGCGCAGGTGTCCAGCTCCAGCTTGAAAATCGTAGCTTTGTAGCAACAAGTGGAGCACGCAAAGTACAGTTTTACAAGCTGAAAAACATTGTTTTCGCAGTAGGCTTGATTGCGAGCCCCATTGGCTTATACCTAAAAATATTCTCTCTAATTATTTTCTTGGGTTTGCGCCCGTGTCCCAATTGTTTCTTTTTGTGTGTGTCTTTGTGTTTGTGTGTAATTGGGTTGGGCGGGGAGGTGAGTGTCCACCGTTTGTTAATGTGTTGGAGTTCAGAAATAGGGACTACACAAAAAAGGGTTTCCCTTTTTGGTTTCCTTTTGACACCCAGCCAAAAGAGAAAGAAAGGTGATCAGGGTATTCGATTTGGTTTTGATTCTGTCGGTTGAACACAGTTTGGACCCCTAATCGTGCCACGTCAGCTTGGCGTGCGTCATTTATCAAAACGCAGCAAGGGAGCAAAGCGCTACTTCACACACACGCACAAACAACCAGCATTGCCCACTTTTGCAGCTGCGTTCCCAGAGAGTCACTGTTGACACAGCTGCAATCCAAATCCCAAAATTGAGGCCGAAGAGCGAGATCCTGTTTTTGAGTGGCTTTGGCCGTTCTGGCTACCTTTCAGTCTGGCCCATTCGGGCAAAGCATGGCATGGCCAGGGCACATCCGGAACCGCCAGAACGCGGGCAGCCCGGGGATCTTGCTGCGCCTCACGGACCAGACCACCTGCGGGGGCTGTCTCGAGCGGACACTCTTCGAGTGGCTCCTGGGCCGGAGTTCACCAGTCCTTGGCCAGGGTTTTCAGCACAGTGTGGGGGTCCTTTGTTGGCGTCTACTTTGGTTCCCTGTGATTTCCGTTTCAAGCAACCCCAAAGCGACCTTCTGGAAAGGCAAAGCTAAAGTGAGTTTCCTTCTGATGTGGCGATGTTGACCGGTTGGACATGCTGCTTGAGTCCTCAATCCTGGTGAGCGAGTCCCTGATTTGGATTTGAAATCTATATGTGTAATCCACTTCAGGGGCTGTCTAATCAGGGTTATTTGCCTGTTGACCCTTCAAAAACTATCAAAGGGAAAGTCCATTTGAGGACAATTATTTTTTCTGAGTTGCCGCTTTCTAGGAGTTTTTTTGTCGGAAAACATGGGACTGGGCATCCCAATTGAGAAAGCCGCAGAAGGGGGTTAGGATTGAGCAACGAAGCAAGCACTGTCACGAGACCTCCAAAAGCTTTCAGCGAGCTGTCCTAACGTTGGGCAGTGGCAGAATGTGCGCCCTCACGGAAGAGCGCGTGGGTTTGCTTTTAGAGGTATGCTCAACTTGTCTTCGACAAACTGGCAAAAGGACTGCCCTAGGCCCTAGGGCTGTTTGGGTGCAAAACTCAGTGAGGGCACCTCAAGTCTCCCTTTTTGAAGAATCATACATTGTGTTTCATGGCCAGTCAATGGGCTTCTCTTGAGCAGTGCAATATCAGGGCAGGACAAAAGGCACCCTGTGGATGCGTGTTGCTGCATTGCTCAAACTCGGTCCACAGTCAGAAACTACTGAGGTTTGTTTTCAATTTGTCCTGCTTTGGCTCCGGTCAATTTGGTTTGGCTTGCGGGACCCATTTAAAATTCAATCAC